AAGTTCGATCAAAATAATTATAAGTTGATGGATCTGTTTCCAGATACTGAATTTTAATCTGAAATTTTATACCGTATTTATTGAATCAATGCGATTCACGAAGAAACAAGAATAAAGATCTATCCAGAAGCGTTCTGTACAAAGAAAGCATGAGTGAGTCTCAATGACGATCGGCTCGTTTTTGGGAATTGGAGTCTTACTATTGTTTTCCACGTTTCAATTAATTTTTAAGGATATGAGATAATATTCCACTTTTTTCATTTTCTAAAAAAAACATTTTACCACAAGAAAGGCAATAAAGCTTTTAATCCACAAGGGGTTACTGAGTGTAAGAGAATATAAGAAAAAAAACATTATAAAATCGAGAGAACAATAAAAGGACAGGAATTAAGAATATAAAGATTGATATTGCGTTTAAATTTTTTCTTATAAAGGAATGTTACATACGCTCTATCGCCCATCCTAACTGAATATATCAGTAGACATATACGGTGAGCACAGGTATTTACCCATTCCCCCACGAGAATGAGATGTGACACAAGGTCAGATTAATGTGGGGACCCGAGCGCGTACACTCGGGTAGGGACAAAAATTCCCTTCAGCCCCCGCAACAGAGAAGCCCCTGAGCGCACTCTGTCCAAGGACAGAGACGCAACTGAGAGATGATAAGAAAATGTGAAATTACCCCAAAGGAGGAATTTACACACATATACGGTGAGCACAGCATATACCGGGGGACTTGCTTCGGCAATGAGTTGGAGATTCGTCTCCAGCTGTGCTGGTTGAACTCTCTGACTCCGGTCAGGGAGGAAACCGACGAGACTATGCCGAAGAGCAGTCTAGTCTGGAGTGATAGAGCTAACCAACCCCGTGCATACCGGGGTTTACGGTGAATTTTTGCCCGAGCCTACTGGCTTGGTTTTGCACCGCATAAAAAAATGGCTTTGTGCCACATCCTTCATCGTGGAGAGGTAAGGTAATTACCCTTGCTTTCGCAATTAGTTGGAGATACGCTTTCAGCTGTGCTTGTCAAATTCTCTGACTTCGGGCAAGGAGGAACCCAGACGAGGCTATGCCAAAAGGCCTGAGTCTCTTCTCGGGAAACAGCAACACGACCCCGTTCTATACGGGGTCTACGGGGAATTCTTGGCGGAGCCTACGAGCACGGATAACTCACATAAAATTTGGCCTTGTGTCACATCTGACCGCATGGGGTGGTTGGTAGATAACCTTGCTTTGGCAATTACTAACCTGCTACCTGATTCCCTATATTTCAGTAGTGTGCCCACTTTTAAAATAATCGTCTCTTTCTTTCATCTACGCGCATGTTGCACTTCCTTCACTCGAGTACCACCATGGTCTGTTTTTAACATCTTTAAGGATACAGCATTTTGGAAAATCAAAATTGACTGGAAATAAAGACGGGGCGGGAGTTCCTCAAGAGTGAATAAACCTTTAGCATAAAACTTATGCTTATATCTAGCCATTTCAATTGTAAAATCATGAGACCTAGCTGCCAATCTAGTACTGCGTTTAAATTCATGAAGTCTAGATACCAAAGGGGAAAGTTTCTAAAAACATTTACCATGAAAATATTTATAGAAAAGTCACGGGCCAGCTACGTTACATTATTTCTTGAACAGTATCTTAAATCAGAATATTGAACGCTTTGGTGCGCATTGGTTTATTTTATTCATTATCAAAATATTGTAATAGGAATTCGAACAACTGCTTTTCCTTCCATATACTCTCCTGCTAATCGGTCAGAAGGTTGCATTCTTGCAAATATATGACCCACTGGTGTGTGTGCTTTTATGTACTTTCGATGGCTTTTTGCATCATGCTTTAATCTGCAGCTCAGTGCAACGCGAATGATATGAAGTCAGATTGACCTGAATGTTTGTACATCTCATCACACTTGTCTTACTCCCTGCCACTGTGCCTTCGCAAAGGCCAACTATACGACTTCGCGCCCATTGTAAGCGGAAAGCTTCCAATTTTACACTAAACCAAGTCAACTTACTTGCCCCAAGAGTAGGATTTGTTTACAGTGACAGAAACGGTGAGATAAGGACGATGTCAAGTTTATTTTAAGAGAAAAGACTGAGTCAAGAAGATGGAAATTACTGAAAAGGATCGAAGTAGGTTGAAAGGTCGTAGACGAAAGAAAAGCAAAGAGTATAATAAAAAAGACAGAAAGAAAGTTTTTTGTTTGGTTAGCGAAATATCAACACGTTATTGTCCATTGAATGCCGAAATTTAAATTTCTTGGAAATATTAGTAATTTATTTTGCAAAAATGTATTTCAAAAATATATTATTATTAGTATTTTTTTTTATTTACAAAAATGTATTAGTGGTATTTTTTTTTCTTATGAAAGTGTATTGCTGGTATTTTTATATAATATATATTTATAGTTTCATAACCTTTTTGACGCCATTTTGGGGGTTAACATTTTGCCAATAGTTGGGACCTTAACAGGTGATACCACACAGGGTCAGGTTTGGCATGGGAACAATAGAAAATAAAGAATTGTTTGCACACTCTTCAAAACCTTCCTATCACAGGGCTTGCTGCTGGATGTAGTTTATCGTCATAACCAGGACGCCAGAAACAAAGTCGAAAAAGAATGAAAGAAAGAAAATATAAAGAAAATCAAAAATGAAAAGAAAAAGTAAATATCCAATGCAGTATAAAACTAAATGTGTATTTTTAAATTCGTAGGAACGGCAAATTTTTTAATATTTTCTGTTCGCATTCTTCAATTTGTTTTTCCTTTTCATCAGCCGGTGAGTGAGTAGATTCGGCGAATTTAAATCCCGGCCTAATTTGTTGCTTTCATTTTCGCATTAATGCAAAAGTAATAAACCCATCTTGTCCTTTTTAATTAAATGGTAGACTAAACACGAGTAGTATTCAGTTTACGAGAGGGTTTACACTGATTTCAAAAGCATAGAGAAAGAACTGGAAGTGACGTCACTATCTTTCCCACAGGATTCAATAGATAATAAAGGAATAGAAACTGTGGGGTGTCAAAATCGATTAATAATGAACGGATAGGAACTGGAAAAAATTCTCGAATATATATATATATATATATATATATATATATATATATATATATATATATATATATATATATATGAAAAGTTGAGAATGCAAATGGAGTTTTTTAAGAATATTTATTTAGAATAACTTACTCTAAAGAAATATTCTTAAAACTGCATTTTCAACTTTTTTTCCTATATATTTTTATCCATGTGACAGATGAAAATATAACTTTCTTTTTCTATGTTACAATTCAGTTATATCTAAAATACATATAGCTGTAATAGGGTCATATCAATAAATACAAAAGGAAAACTTATCTTGGTCGACGTGTTTCGTCCTATGATGAACTTTGTCTAGGATTTATTACGTAACACATATTTATAAATAAAAGTCAAAATATTGTTAGTTTTTCAGTCTCTGAAAGTAATGAATGATGCTAAGTAACGTAAAAGGAAACGAAACTAAAGACAGTAAATGATGTTGATGAATTTTTTTTTATGTAATTGATATTTAAATTACTTTAGTTTCGAATTAATTCATAGATTATATATTTTAAATAACAGGAGATTACGAATTTAACCGTTTTCTTTAAATTTTTTAATTTTTTTTATAGACATGTATGCTGGCTTAGAATAAATAAATATATTGTTTTATAAATAAACAGGAGTCTACTTAATTCTGAGTAACCACTAAAAATGACATTTAAAGCCAGATTAATATATAAAAATACTTTTCTTCTTTAGAAATATACATATATATATATTCTACCTGCACACACATACAAACACTTATATTATATACTTTCTTTTTTTAAATTTATCACTCATTGAATCTTTGAAAATCCTTGAAATTTAATTTTACTAGGCGAAAATGATCATTTTTATAATAGTAAAACTTTGCTCTGATTCCACATTGATTGTAATCGGTTAATATTTAATATTGTTAATAGGATTCACTTGGATTATGTACCTACGGATTGCTACCTATACTTTCTACACACACACAGGCACACACACACATACACACACATATATATATATATATATATATATATATATATATATATATATATATATATATATATATATATATTCTACCATATATATATTCTGCATACATGCATACATAATCACATTCACTCTCTCTCTCTCACACACACACACACACACACACACACATATATATATATATATATATATATATATATATATATATATATATATATATACCGTTGTAGAAAAATTGTCGGTTGCTTGAAATCTCACAAAATTAACGTTTTTTTATAATCCCTTCTTTCTCTCTCTATCCTCTCTCTCTCTCTCTCTCTCACACTCTCTCACACACACACACATAAAGAACAGCAAAATATAAATTACACGTAAATGTACTGTAGGGAGGTAAAACGACATTTAAAAATGGAAGAAAGGCTTTTTAATTGAACTATTCGCGTTAGAGATTCAATAATAGATACGATGCTAGAAAATGGAAACGAACTAAATACATTTATCCGCCACCAAATATGGAAGAATTGTTCAAATACATGACGAAAGAAAAGAATAGTTTAATGAGAAGGAAATTAAATTGAAAATAGGAAAGGCGACAGCTACAAGGATTTAATGAAATGGAGAACTCCGCAATGGATAGAAGTGTTTCGATATTGGTTGCGATTGGCCTACACCAAATATCGAGTTACCCGGCATGAAGAAAGAAAGAAATAAACTGAGAAAGATAACGTAACGTTGAGTGAGAGAAATGAAAAGAAAAGAAAATCGATTAGTGGCATTAAAGAAGAAAACAAATAAAATGTAAAACAAAAATCGAGAAAAATCAAAGGAAGAATGATTGAAATTCAAACATTTATAGGAAGGAGAAAGAAATAAATACATAGAGTAAGGAAGAAAAATGAAAGAAAAATACATATAAAAAGAAAGAATTAAATATAAATAAACATAGGATAAAGACAGAAAAATAAAGAAAGAAAAAAGTAAGAAAGAAAAAAGAAAGAAAGAAAGAAAGAAAAAAGAAAGAAAGAAAGAAAAAAGAAAGAAAGAAAAAAGAAAGAAAGAAAATATAAAAGAAGGTATTACTGTAAAAAAGACAAAAAAGAAAAAAGACATAAATGAGAATACAAAAAGAAAGATATAAAGGAAGAAACATAATAGGAAGGCAGAGAGATAAAAAAAAAATGATGAAAGAAAATTGTAAAAATGAAAGAAGGAAAATATGAAAGAAATGAGTATGGGGGAAAGACGAAAGAAAGAAAAGGGCACAAAAAAGAAAGAAAGAAAGAAAGAAAGACACAAAGAAAGAAAGAAAGAAAGAAAGAAAGAAAGAAAGAAAGAAAGAAAGAAAGAAAGAAAAATTATAGAAGAAAGATGAGTGTAAGAATGAAAGAAAGAAAATATCAGAGAAAATATTACCGGGGCAAAATAGGAAAGAAATAAATATTGTAAGAATGTTTAAAAGAATATTTGGAAGAATTTTGCAAGCAACTTCAGAAGAAAAAAGTTAAAGCAAAATAAGTAAAACAAAGAAAGAAGAATGGAAACGAATGAATGACATACTAGAAACAAAGAATGAAATAGACAAAAATAGAAAGGACGGAGCGCACGAAGGAAGGTAAAAAGAAAAAGGGTAAGAATGAAAGCATGAAAACGAAATAGCCTAGGAAAGAAAGAAAGTAAGAAATAAGCAGGGGGTGGAGAATGAAAGACAGAAAAAAAAAGATAGCAAAGGAAGGATAAAAAGGATGAACTCTCAAAGGAAGGCCTAAAATGATGATTGAATAGGTGGGCTGTGAGCTGAATGACATGAAGCGGCAATGAATAATGTTAGGAAGGAAGGCTCTACGATGATTGATTACTCAACCAAATATCTGTGACTAGCCGCATGGAGTGCAGTTCTCACCTAGAAAGCAGTGAAGTAAAAGACAGTTCAACTGTAAGTAAACACAGTGACACTGGAATATACGTACATTGGTCAGAGAAAGAATCATCCATCTTATTTTTGGGAACCTGTCCTACTCTCTCTTAATCTATTCAGCCACCTAACTTTCGACATACAAAATTCTATCCGAGTATACACCCTCTTCCAATATCCACTAAGCAATGAGTAGTCAGACACAGAGAAAGAAAAATTGTCTTTATAAGGAAGATTATGTTGCGACATTACTGAATGAATTACTGCCTGCTCTAAAAATCGTGATTCGTATTTCCGCTTAACTAATGAACGGGAAGATGACAGTTTACACAAGATGGGTGTATGATTGATGCTTGGTTCAGTTATGACCTTCAGATTGCTTTGCAGTGATAGAGATAATTTCGTATATCAAAATCATTTAATGATCATAAAAAAATGGCGTAATGATATTCAAGAAAGCGAATGTCATGTAACTTAAAAAGAAAACGACAATGAATTTTGACAGATTTTATTTGCGCAATTCATTGCTTTTTACCCAATAAAACCGATATTTGTAGGATTTACAGAATCCATATGGGAAATATATCGGGCGAGTTTCAGTTCATAATTGGATTTAGTAAAACTTTCACTGATTCTTTGCTTGACTCCTTTGGGGAAAAAATAGGAAATTGCTTTTCAGTCGAAATAAAAAAAAAAAACTTTAAAAACGCTGACAACAATTTCTCATTGGCGTTGACATTTTGTTTTGATGGTATTTCCTGCAAAAAATATAAACGACACTCCCAAACATATCATATAATTTAAATACGACACAAAAGAAGACAAATTGGAGGCTAATCTATGTCTACTGGTTTGGAAATAACACAAAGTGCAAGTTAATTTATAAAATAAGAACAATCAAGAGACCGATAACTCTTATTTATACGATAATATCTTCCATAAAATGTATAATTATTAATAACGTTTATGTACGCTGACAGCAGACAAGGTAAGTCTCGTAAAGACCTATAAATATGTTGACAGCGGAGAAAATTGTAAATAAAAATATTGAGAATAACTTTTGTTGGAGGTGTCTGGTTAAATAGCAGAATAATTTTTCTATAATTAAAAATATATATGTTTGGATGGCTGGTCACTCGAATCCGAGGATGTCCGTATACCAGACAGGCAGGCTTCTCCACAACCACACTAACGGCGGGCGAAGGCTTTTCGGGGAGTGGGGGCTTGAGACAGACCCAACCGGGGGTATTACCATACCGGTCCCGGATGTTGGCATGCCCATTACATGTGAGAAACAACAGACTCAGCGCGAGGGGGATTTGGGCAGGAAGAGGACAGGTGAGCAGTCTGTCCATACTACCAGCAAGCCGGTCTTCGACCTGTGACTGTGATTGGCATCCTCTTGCCTTCAACAACCAGGCATTTGGAGATGGACGTGAAGGCATTTAATCCACCATCAATTCAAAACTCCCCCCCGGTCAGATCGTCGGAGGACGCACAGAGCATCTGGCCAAATTGGCACAGATAGGCGGCCAAGTGCTCGACAATCTGAGGAGGGACCTCATAAACTGAAACTTGGTCCTACACCTGCCTTGATATTCGGTCCTCAGTATTAGATCTTTTATTATTAGGTCCCGAGTGCTCACCGCTTCACAGTCGACAGGCGTGGGTAACAGTATGTCCACCATGAAGAAGCCTTTGCCTTTAATGACTCTCTGTAGTTTAATCCCCAGGGACGTCAATGACTTTATGACATTGTCTTTTGTGGAGCGGCAAATTTTGCGCGAACGCTTGTCCACCACAAAGACCGACACAATTCTTTTTCAACCTTCTGTAATTACTCCCTAATATTTATGCTGCATTTAGGTGGGGTTGACCAGCCAGAGGGCGTCTCCTCGATCGCTACTTTGTCATCTTTGTTGTCTTTTGTCAGTTGTCAGGTCATTTCTTGAAGAAGATTCTTTGCTTGATTCAGCTTCCATATTGTTTTCCTTGGTTTTGATATTTTGGTCTGATTCGGTTTCCATATTTTCAGTTGGAATAAGAGAATTTACGCTCTTTTCCGGCAAATTCTTTTCTTGAACTTTTTTTTCCATTATCGGCCACCATACTTGTTGACGATTCATTATCTACTTCTGTATTTTTATTTTCTTCCGATTTATTGGGTGGCTCAGTCGTTTTTTTTCCTAGTCCAAAATAATTTTTTTTAATTCTTCGTGGCACCCATTTTTTAATATGCTTAAAGACTTTTTTTTATATTTTTTCTTTTTACAAAAATAAAGTATTAAGGAAATAAAAAGATAAATTACTAAAACAAATATAATAAACAGTTAGACGCGCTAAAGACAAAACGTTACGCAAAATACAGACAAGAATAAAACATTAAACTTAAAAAAAGACGGAGAAAATTAATATACAAGACAATTACAAAATCCTTTTTTAAAAGGATTATACAGCAAAGACGGAGTTAAGCGTACGAAAAGGAATAGAAAATACACCAATAAATTCAAGCACCAATAAATAATACAGTACTGAGACGAGAACACGAAAGAAAATACGGAACTCATACGAAACTAACAAATGACAAAAACAAAGATGGTCGCTAAAATACCAACTCTGGCCGTTAACGAAGAAAAAGAATAACGAACAAATTAGACAAAAATTACAAATGCAAGAAAATTAAAACAAATATGTACAAAAAATATTTCACAAGTACAACACAGAAAACTTAACAAATATTTAAAAATGGAAAACAAAGAACGAAAAACAAAGAATAACAAAGAACGATATAACACGTAATAACGTAAACAATGAAAAAAAAAAGTCTGATGTAAAATAAAACAGATAAACTTTAGCAGGGGATTACAAAATATTAAAAGGAAACGGAAAATATAAAATATTAATTTAAAAATAAAAGAAAATCAAAAAACTAATAATAAAATAATGAGAGGAGAAGGGTGAAAACTAAAGAAAAAATGGGGATGCTAAGAAATAGAAAAGAAAAAATCACAAACTTTTCAAAAATCAGTCAGTTCAAAATTGAAAACTTAAGAAAAATTAAAATAAAAAAACCCCGAAAAAAACAGACTTAGCAGAACAAAATAGAGATCAGTAAATAATCCAGGTAATAATATCGCAAATACGACGTGGCAAAAAACCGGTCAGTAAGAGGTCTTATTCTCGTTACACCATTCATTCGGTATCCAGCACCCCCGCCCCACGAGATTTGCATGTGGCACAAGGCCGAGTTTAACGTGGGTTTCTTCGGCAAAGCTTCGTCCAGGTTCCTCTCTGCCAAAGCAGAGAGTTCAACAGTCATGACCTGGTGTTCGTTACACCATTCATTGTATTTAATATCCCACACACGAGGAATATGTGGCAGGTGGCCGAGATTAAAGTGGGTTTCTCGAACCCGTAGGCTCGGCCAAAAATATACACTTTGAACCCGCCTAGACGGGTTCAGGGCCTGTCTACCTCCCCGGACGAAACCTTGCCCTTCGGCAAAGCTTCGTCCGGGTGCTCGTTACACTATTCATTCGGTATCTAGCCACCCCGCACGAGGGCTGCATGTGATACAAATCCGAGTTTAACGTGGGTTTCCCGAGCCAGTAGGCTCGGCCAAAAATATACCCTTTGAACCCGCCTAGGGTTTAGGGCCTGTCTACCTCCCCGGACGAAACCTTACCCTTCGGCAAAGCCTCCTCCGGGTTCCTCTCTGCCAAAGCAGAGAGTTCAACAGTCATGACCTATAGTAGTTACACCATTCATTTCATTATACCTCTTGAGAGGCGCAGTATTTATAGTGTCAGGAATAGTTCATTATCGTTATAGGTAAGTTCCCATGACAGAAACATTAGGCATTCATTGATCGAGCATTGAGTAATGCTCTCGATTGAAATTTATAAAATATTTTTCATAAAACATATTTTCAGGAAAAAAGGTTTCCAAAGTCCAGTAGCTGTTATCACTCTTGTTGCTTCGGTTTTTCTTTTTAATCTTTTATTTGAAGAAGTGTTGAATATAACATTTTATATCATTATTTTTTTTCTTCGTATTAGATGTGATAGTCATTTTAGATGTCGCTACTGTTAAAACTTATGAATTGTTTTGGTTTCTGTTCTTTGTGGTATTTTAGCGCCACTCCACACGTTCCAAAGAAGGATGAAC